AAGTGTCCATAGCTCCAATGAGGTTCAAATAATGAGAAACAATCATCTAGATTCATACAATAGTCATACCAAGTCACGTAACCCAAGCAGTTTGTAAGTCATGTTTGAACATGGTGCACATAGGTCTCTCTTGAGCTCCCTACTATCTTCCCATCTATGAGATAGTTAGGATTAACCCAACTAGTAGGAAGGGGTGGCCCTGGAATAGTGCAAGCGGCGCCAATGCACAAGGGCCCTGATTTTTTAGGACCCCCTAATTTTTTTTTATTTTAGATAATTTATATTAATATTATAACAACTGTAAATATACTCCAACGTGCAACAAATTGACACAAAAATTTATTTAGTGGAGTTGGTTTCTAGTGCATATCCCTTGGTACAAGGCTTACGTGGAAAATTTTAAGAACAAAATTTTAAATAGTTTTAAAAAAGAAGCATGTGAAAAATATAAGGGGAAAGATCCAATTAAATAATAGTATATATCACACCCATACGCTTTTTCTTTAAAAAATAATAATAATAATTTCTTCGACTCAAAACAAAACAAAACAACATAAAAAATAAAAAATCATATCTTCTTCTTTCTCATGAACTATTATTTTTTCTTACCGAACATACCAACATTTAAATTTATCAAATGAACGCAACATACTCAACGAACGCAACCTTTGCGTTCGCGTGAAAAAATAGTGCATTTGTTTGAAAAAGAAAGTTAGTGGGGTCCATTTTCCCGGGAATGGGCAACTTTACTCAACGAACGCACTCCTTGCGCTCGCGTGAATAAATATCTCGTTTGTTTGAAAAAGTAAGTTACTGGAGTCCATTTTCCCGGGGAACGGAGAACTTTACTCACCGAACGCAACACCTGCGTTTGCGTGAACAAATAGTCCGTTTGTTTGAAAAAGTAAGTTAGTTTGGTCCATTTTCCCGGGGAATAGGTAACTTTACTCAACGAACACAACTTCTACGTTTGCGTGAACAAATAGCCCGTTTGTTTGAAAAAGCAATTAGTTGGGCCCATTTTTCCGGAGAACGGGCAACTTTACTCAACGAACATAACCTCTGCGTTTACGTGAACAAATAGCCCGTTTGTTTTAAAAAGTAAGTTAGTTGGGCTCATTTTTTCGGGGAACGGGCAACTTTACTCAACGAACGCAACCCCTGCATTTATGTGAACAAATAGCTCGTTTGTTTGAAAAAGTAAGTTAGTTGGGCCTATTTTTCCAGGGAACGGGCAAATTTACTCAACGAACGCAATCCCTGCGTTTATGTGAACAAATAGCCCGTTGTTTGAAAAAGTAAGTTAGTTTGGCCCATTTTTCCGGGGAATGGACAACTTTACTCAACGAACACAACCCCAGCATTTGCATGAACAAATAGCCCATTTGTTTGAAAAAGTAAGTTAGTTGGGCCCATTTTTTCGAGGAACGGACAACTTTACTCAACGAACGCAACCCATTGCGTTCGTGTGAACAAATAGCCCGTTTGTTTAAAAAAATAAGTTAGTTGGACCAATTTTTCTTAGGAGCGGGCAACTTTACTCAACAAATGCAACCCCTGTGTTCGCGTGAACAAATAGCCCGTTTGTTTGAAAAAGTAGGTTAGTTGAGCTCATTTTTCTGAGGAACGGACAACTTTACTCAACAAACGCAACCCATTGCGTTCACGTGAACAAATAGCCCGTTTGTTTGAAAAAGTAAGTTGGTTAGGTTAATTTTTCCGAGCAGCGTACAACTTTACTCAACGAACACAACCCTTGCATTTGTGTGAACAAATAGCCCGTTTGTTTGAAAAAGTGAATTAGTTAGGCCCATTTTTCCAGGGAACGGGCAACTTTAGTCAATGAACGCAACCCCTTGCGTTCGTGTGAACAAATAGCACGTTCGTTTGAAAAAATAAGTTAGTTGGGCCCACTTTTCTGCAGAACGGGTAGCTTTACTCAACGAACGCAACCCTTGCATTCACGTGAATAAATAGCCTGTTTGTTTGAAAAAGTAAGTTAGTTGGATCTTTTTTTCCGGGGAATGGGCAACTTTACTCAATGAACACAACCTCTGTATTTGCGTGAACAAATAGTCTGTTTGTTTGAAAAAGTAAGTTAGTTGTGCCCATTTTTCCGGGAACGGGAAACTTTAATCAACGAACGCAACCCCTGCGTTCGCGTGAAAAAAATAGCCCATTTGTTTGAAAAAGTATGTTAGTTGGGTCCAATTTCCGGCGAAATGGCCAACTTTATTCAACGAACGCATCCCTTGTGTTCGTGTGAAAAAATAGCGCGTTTGTTTGATAAAGTATTGTAGTTTGTCCAATTTCCCGAGGAACGACGAAATTTAATCAACGAGTGCACTCCTTGCGTCCTCAAAGTAAAATACCTTGTTTTTTGAGTAAATCATGGAGTTCATTGGGTAATTTGGTCAACGGACAACATCCTTTACCTGACGAATGAGTCGCTTAGCGTTCGTTAGGTAGGTTTGTTGGCATAAATTACTGAATATAACTTTCGTGATTTACTACTAATTTAACCCAATGAACTATTGGGAATAAAATTGAACTTCGTTGATTATCTCCAATTATTACTATATTGTTAATTAAAGTTAATAACAATATCAAACATATGATTGTTGATACAAATATAAATTTAAAAACTTTCAACAAAAATTATTACTTAATGGTCGATTGATTGAGCCACATTGAATTGATGAAAAAGAAAATTGGACTTTTTCGATTATGATCAATGCCCAACTGATAATATATGACCATGAAGTGAAGTGGAAGTATGAGAAGTCTTCTTATATCCAATCTCATTGCATAGCCCACATACGAATCATATTCCAAGGATTGTTGTGCTGTTATGATTGTAGACTAAATAACATAGAGGCTTATTATCACAAAATGTCCCTAAGGTTTACGAAACTATCAGATTTCATCCTCAATTTTTTTTTTGTCATTCGTGGTCGTCAAGGTTAGTATGTGTGATCACAAATGGTCCATGCCGTTAGCTTCCATAAAAAACTTTGTTAGTTTGCTGACGTGGCGTATATGTATATCACAAAACATCCTTGAGGTTCACACACCTATCACAAATGGTCCTTACAAATTTTTTTAATTTTTTAATTTTTTAAATTTAAAATTCATAAAATTTTGTTTTCTTTTTAAAATTTTATGACGTATAATTATTTTAAAATATATATTAAATTTTAAATACATGTGACATTATATTATTGTAGATGTGAGCTCCATATATATGCTACATCAACAAACTAATGAAGTTTTTTAAAAATAATTTAAAATTCATAAAATTTTAAAATGAAAAAAACTAAAGGTTTAGGGCTCATAAATGATCCTCAAGATTAAAATCCTTCTATAAATGGTTTTTTCATTTATAAATAATTTTAAAAAGAAAACCAAAATTTTATGAATTTTAAATTAAAAATTTTAAAAAAAACGTGGGGACCATTTGTGATAAGTGTGTAAACCTCATGGATGTTTTGTGATATATATGTACGCCACGTCAGCAAACTAATAGAGTTTTTGACAGAACCTAACAGCAGGGACCATTTGTGATTGCACATACTAACCTTAAGGACCATAAGTAACACAAAAAAACATTAAGGATCCAATATGATAGTTTCATAAACCTCAAGGACGTTTTGTGATAATAAGCCTAACATAGATGAAAACAAAGATTTTGCCCATAAATGATGGTAAAATATCCACAAAAGAACGCAATATCACATGTTTGGCTTTAAGGCATATATTTAACATCCTTTCATATTATTTTATTTTACATAATTCAATTATGCTTAACGTATGAAATGACCAATGTGCCCTCATATTTAATGACAGATTGGATGAAATGTTAGGGAATTAAACGGCAGGGGAGACATTGGCAATAAAGAAAATTCATATCCGTAATTTTATAAAAAAATGTCATGCGATAAATTGAAAATTGAATACAAGTTCAAGGACTAAATCAACAATTTAGCCATGTTAATGGTTTTTGTGGGCATATATCGCATATTTGATAGCACATGTGTGCAATTCTCAATTTACAGTATCCATATGCATATGCCTGTATGCAATCTTGTAGCATCTATGTGCAATCTCCTTTTACAATATGCAATTGCATACATATGTATGCAATTTCGTAACATCTGTTTGCAATTATTAGTTTACAATATGCAATTGCATTCCGCCCTTATTTTGGTTTTTAACTTTTTTCGTTCATATACCTGTATGCAATCTCGTAGCATCTATGTGCAATTCTCGTTTTAAAATATGCAATTGCATATATATGTATGCAATTTCGTAACATCTGTTTGCAATTCTTAGTTTACAATATGCAATTGCATTTCGCCCTTCTTTTGGTTTTTAACTTTGTGGGGGACTTTTTCTTCCTGCAGCTAACGGGCTGGGCTGCTGCAAAAGGTGGACTGAGGAGATTGCCCCTTTTCGTTTGGGTTCGAAAATTAAGCCCCAAAATACCTCGAAAGGGAAGCGGAACCTTAGGAGATATTTTGGATAATCTTCACCAATGAGGATAATAGTAACTTACATATAATTTTGGCATGCTTACAGGTGGTTTTTAGACTCAGCATGAGTGGCATGAGGCATGGAGAGCAAAACCAGCATGGGTTTAGCACTAAGAGAGAAATTAGGCTTGGTTTATGATAAATGAAAGTGTTTAAGTAAGGAATGAGGTATTTTTTGTGAGGGATTTTGACTAGAGAAAAAGAAAAAGAGAGGCAGGGTTCTTCCAGCAGCTACCAGAAGAACAAATTGGAGAAGAAGATGAACAGTGCACGGATCTAAGTTTTGCAAGATAGAGAGAAAAGCTTGCTCTCTGCAGGTTGTGAGTTGTGTTTGTTGGGTAGGGGAAGGCTCAATTTATAGCTGCCGGAAATCACCATTTTTCAAGAAACCCTAATGGCTCCTTCCTACTTTGGCTAAGCTTTTCTTCCTTTCTCCTCCCCTTCTCTGACTTCCCTTTTTTGGCAAAGATGGCTTCTGTCTATCTTCATGAATTTAGGAGATTTTGGGGGCTCAACATCCCTCTTTCCCGCGGCTGTGCAATGAGGGCTTCCACTCTTAGTTTGCTGTTTTTCTTCCTTTTCTTTCCTCTTCCTTGGCTGAATCTGATGAAGGAAAGGTGGTGCAAATGTATGCTGGTCCAAGGGATGCTTCTGACAGCATGCAGGATGGTATTCATCGGTTCTTTGGATGTCTCTGGCTTGGGACTGGTTTCCAGCAGCTTACTTAAGGAGCCTGCCATCTACTTCACGTGTTCTCTGTTTTTCAAAAAAGGCTGAAGCTCTTGTGGGCCTTTTTTTTGGGTTTTTCTAAGGGCCAAGATGGCTTTCTAAGCAAATGGGCTTATTGGGCTTGATTTGGGCTTATTATTATTTTTGGTTGGGTTATCTCTTGGCTAGGTTATTTTGCTTGGGTTTTTGGGCTATTTTTCTCTCTTGTGCTTACCCACATGTTTGGACCTAAGAAATGGGCTTGAGTCTCGAGGCTCCCAAGCAACCCGAGACTTTCCATTTCTTGGTCCATCAATGGGCCTCATGTTGATTTATTACCATCCATGCCACAACCCACTCAAGCAAGCCCCGGGTCTTTTTTGAGTGGCTTGGGCCCACCTAGGCTTGTAGCGTGGTTGGGTGCGAGATAACGGCACGGCATGTTGCTCGGCATATTTTACTTTATCGCCCTTTTGAAGGATTGTTTTAATTTTTCTTAGCATGATTATATTTTATCATAGCATGATAATTTGTTTATTTAGCGTGGCGTGTGGGTTATAACTTGCATGCGATAGATCCCTTTTTTCTTTTCCCTTATGAAATATTGTATTGGGCTGATAATTGTTCGGGCCCAATCCATGGATTTTTTGGGCCTCAACATTAGCCCCCTTAATTATAAGGGCCATGAACAGGTGCTGGAATGGGCCGAATAATTAAACCCAACCCAAAAAATCAGATTTGTATTTGCATAGGACTCTTCTTCTTCCCGCGTGCAAAGTGACGGCGTGCCATGATTGGTCTCGGTGGTTACTTGCAGTTTCCAACGCCAACTGCCTTCCTCTCCTTATTTTATTATTTTCCTCCGTTGTTTCTCTTTTCTCGCACCGGGCACAAACTTCTCCCTTTTCCTTTCCTTTTCTCGCTCCAGACCCAAAACTTCTCTGCAACTATTTTTTTCTTGCGTTCTCTCTTGCCCTTCCACGAAGCCAGACCAAGGAAGAAAGTGCAATCGGGTAGGAATCACCCATCTCCAGCTGCTGGGAAGAAGACCCAAGTCGAACCCAGCCCCGTCGTTCCATCTTCGTTCCAAAGGAGCCCGTTCGTCGCTGCTGGAAAGGTCCTTCTTTGTGCGAATTTTGCCTTCAAATCCCTGGTTTTCTTCTATTTTTGGTGCATTCAACGTCATCCCTTGGAAGATTTAACAAGGTACCCTCCTTTTTCCAGTTTTCCTTTAGATGGATTTGGAGAATTTGTTGGGTTTCTCATACCCATAGATGTTGCCTTTTGTTTTGGCAGCCAAATACCCAAAACCCCTTTTCTACCCATCTTGTTTCCACTGCACCAATAGTGCTCACGGAGTGGGTGCTAGCAAGGAAGGGCCCGTGCCATTGTCTAGGTTTCTTCCTTCGTTGATTTTGCTCGAGCTGCTGGAAAGGTAACTTTTTTTTCTTTCTTGTTGGCTTGGGTTTCTCCCCCTTCTTTTTATTTTGCACGGGCCTCCCCTTTTATGTGTAAAAGGCTGACTTGGCATGACGTGCTTTTATTTTTTGTGCAGGTACACGCATCTTGGGCATAGGTAGGTGCTGGAAACCCTTGACATTTTGCTGCTGGAACCTTCAAACCCTTCAGTCTTCTAACTTAGACTTTGGCAATAACTCTGCTAACTCTGGGTATTTTAGAATAGGTGTAGACTGATGCTTGGCCTAGGCTCTCTTTTTTTTTCTTTTCTTGAGAACACATGCTTGATCGATTATGGAATTCTGCGTGTGTTGCCTGTGGAGGAAGACAGAGTGCATGTTTTGTACTGCCTGGCCGAAATTTTTTTTATTTTTATTTTTATTTTTTATTCTGAGAAGGGACTTGCTTGTCCTGCTTGTTGATCACAAAGCGAGACTCTTACTTGTCATGAGCTTGAATTTTAAATTGCATGTTTGCTTGGATAAACTCAACTAGCCCCGTATTTTGCGTGTGCTGATTCTATTTTGCTTCTTTCCATGTTTCTATGCGCAGGTACCCATTATGGCATCCGGTAATCCACCATTTATCATAAGGGATCATCTTTACTCCGTAGATGACAAGTTGAAGAGAGGGAGACCTCCTCCTTTGCTTAAGGGTACCGAGGATGTAATTATTGATGAAGAACCAGCGCCAGAAGCTACTTCAGTGATTGACCCTGCGTCCGTATCAAGGTGCTGTATAGAAAGGGGTCTGTTTCCGGCAGTTCCTTTGTTCTTTCAATATCCCTGCAGCACCAGCAAGGGTTGGTCGGAGTGGGTTGATGCTGAACTGAAGAACCCATCTACCCGTGATATCCTAAGCCGGGCAGGCGTGTTGGAAGCCATCTTTGCTTCTAAGGCTTGCGACATCCATATTGAAGTCAAGACGCTTCGACACTTGGTTAGACGGTGGAGCACTGAGACGCACACTTTTATTTGTTCGTGGGGAGAGTTCACTCCCACGCTTGAGGATGTAGCTAATATCTTCCATCTCCCACTTTGCGGCAGCCAAGATCCTTTCCATATTGCATTAACCGCGGAAGATGGGCCAAAGCTTGAGATTTTGCGGAAAGGTGCCCCGACCTCTCCTAGTACCTCTCTAAGATTCAGTAATTGGATTCAGTTTTTTGGGAACAGTGATCGAGACGAGCCGTGTCGCCTTGCTGCGTTTGTGTCCTTGTGGCTCGGGAGGTTCCTCTTTTGTGATTTTTCTCAGGACTGCTTGCATGGGAGAGTGTTTCCGTTGGCTTTGGCAATAGCACGGGGTAGCATGATCCCTTTAGCCCCCATGTTCTTGGGGCACTTATATCGCTTACTTGACCAGATTCAATTTCTTGAGAAGGGGGCGGCCGGAACCATGGCTGTGGAGACTTTTGTAAACTCCAGTTTTCTGCAGATCTTTTTATGGGAACGCTTCAAAGGGATAGAGGTATCTCCACTCCCTTATTCAAAGGCTGAGTCGCTGGTTGCTTCGGACGAGGATTCCTACGTGCCGGGTAGTCTTCCTCTGATCTGTAGATGGTTCCGTCGCATGCAACGGAAGGGCCAAAATTTTTTAGAGCTGCTGGACGATGTTGAGCAATTTATTTTTCGCCCCTATTGTGCCTCATCAGAGGGCTTTAAAAGTATGCCCCTCTATGCTGATTCTGCTGCTTTAATGGAGGCCCTGGCCATGCCAACACAAGGTTGTCGGTTACGCAGAGAGGCATTGATGAGTGCCGCATGCCTCCCTCTGCCCACATTCGGTGATGACCACTTGGAGATTTCTGTGCATTATTCCCCTTACCGGGTTAGACGACAGCTTGGGTTTGACCAAGGTGTGCCCTCTCGTCCCAACCATGGAGATTCCTTGAGCTTGCACAGGGTTTTCTGGACTGGTGACAGCGTGCCGGGAGACGGCAGGCCTCTTGCCCTTGCTCTGGCCATCCGGCAGCGCGTTGGTGGTCTCTCAAAGGCCTACCAAAATTATTGGAACCGCTGCTTTGCCTCGCTCAGCCGATTCCATGCTGCCCACTGTGATAGATTGATTCCCACCATCATTCATCATGCCCGTTTAGTGTCGGAAGAGAAAGCGATTTCCTTGAGCGAGAAGCGAAATCTGCCTTTTATCTCCAAAAGCGGAGAGATTGTTGGTGACTTTTCGAAGCTAAAGCGGAAGTTGGAAAAGTCGGGTTCTCATAGTGCCGGGAAGAGTGTTGCACATGGGAAACGGAAGCGTGAGGAAAGCTGCAGCGCCGAGAAAAGGCAAGCTGTAAAAGAACCGAAAAGGTTCATCCCCAAGGTAGCGGCAGGTGGTCCTCCCAGCTCAAGAAAGGTTGCCTTGCCCGAGTCCTTACAGCAGCAGCCTACAGCTTCCGGCAGCAGCGAGCTAGCAGCTCCCAAAGCTTCATCTCCTCACAGTAAGTATTGCTATTTGTTTGCTCCCTTTGTTCCCCGCTCTTTGCGTATATATAAGTATCCCTTTCATCTTATTTTGCAGGTACTTCCCAAAGTAAAGGCAAGGGTAAGGGGTTTTCCGCGACCCCGAAACGTCGAAGCATGCGTATTCTTGAAACGCGGTTTGCTAATACCCGAAAGAATAAGGGTGAAGACTCGGGACCCAAAGTAGTGGTGACGGTTGATGATAACAGTGATGATGATAGTGATGGCGATGGCGCTGCGGGAACTGAGGCTAACATTCATGAGCAAGAGAGTGCTCACGATACGAGTGGCATGGACGAGGACTTTGATGAAGGCCAATACGATAGTCACGACGAAGACACCTATCCGGCTTTCGGCACTAGCTTGGGGGAGTTCGATGACCCAGATACGACTCCCGCTTTGACTGGCGATCATGGACAGCGTGTCGATATTGAACTGGTATCAAATATCCTTCTTGCTTGTTTTGCTTGGAATATTGACATTGCATGCTGCCCGTTGTGTCCTCTAGTTCATACTCCGTCTTTCTTCTGCAGGTCGTGCCCGCCATTGAAGGCACAATAGGTGCTTCATCAGAGGCTGATTTTGCCCTTCCCACTACTGTCGCTGAAGTTGTCCTGAGCCTTCCGGCAGTGCAACCTCCTCCTTCTCCTAACCCATGTACTCCTGACATGGCTGCTGATGCCTCTCCACTACTTCCAACAGTTCCTCCTCCTATTTCTCCAATTCCGAACGTACCTGCCATAGCTTCCGGCACTGCTCTACTTCTTCCAGCAGCACATCCCCTTACTCTCCCAATCTCGAGCACACCTGACATAGCTTCCGGCACCACTCCACCTCTTCCAGCAGCACATCTCTGTGATAAGAATGTTGATGCTTTTATCGCAGGTTCCTCAAAAGGGCCTTCATTCGAGAAAGGCATGTCTTGGCAAGATTGGGAGAATTCCTACACGGCATTCAAAGCCTTCTTTGATGGTGGTGTCACCATTCTTAGATCCATTGATGAACTTCTTCCGCTTTGCCACAGATTCGATGGTTATGCAACATTCCAAGGCGCCCTTGTGTATCCAGAGACGGTTGGAGCCTTGAAAAAGTTCATGGACAAATACGGGAGTTTGCTGGAAGCTACAGATGTCACCTCCTCTTTCTCAAGGGGTACTGCCCTTCGAGCGCTTGGCTTAGTACTTCATGGGATGGACACCATGCAACTCCTTGATATTACAGATCATAAACTGCTCTGTTGGCGAGATGCAATATGCGAGGCCATGATTCTGGGCTTTCCTGTGGAATTTCTCCTTAAACTCGTGAAGAGCTTAGCACGTGCCGTTTTGGAGCACGGGCCATTCGTAGTATGCAATTATCGCATGATTCCGATGAAGTAAAAGCTGCTGCAGATGCCTTGAATATTAAACAACAGGAGTTGGAAAACCAGCGCCGGGAGATGCATGCCCTTCTTCTTGCTAAGGGAGTTTCTGTTGACAGCGCTGAGTGCGTGACGGAGGCAGCAGCCAGATTATCTCCTGGGGCTTCCTTTGTTCTTTTGGACATTCCCCATAGCCTACAGGTACTCAGCTCCTCCATTATATTTTTTTATTACGTATTCCAGCAGCAGCCATTTTTTGACACACATTTTCTTTTATCTTTTGCAGATTGCCCATCCTTGGCTTAGTGACCATTTAGCTTGGCTCATGATCCTGCTTTTCTTCGTGACTTAAGGGCGCGTGAACCTTCAGCAGATGCAGCTTTATTTTGCTTTGTTTGTAGTGTTGTTTTTTTTCTTTTGAGACTCTAACGACTACGTCGTTATGCCTTTGTTTTTGATATTAAACTACTGAAGCTTGTATGAATTTCCGGATGCTTGAGGCATGTTGCATATTTCCTGTGTATATATATGTATATGTACTGCTTTGTTGGCCAGAATTGTCTTTATGGACTGCTTGACATTTTTGACAGGTTGGATATCATTGAAAACAGGGTATATGCTGTCAAATTTTTTTTTAGAAGAACCGAGTCTTCGAAAGCTTCTTTTGCATGGCTTATCTAGATTCTAAGCTTGACAAAATAGCTTCCCACCTTTCCCAAAGGGTCGAGCAATATGTGCATGATTTCTACTGGGCTCTATAAAGCTTCCAGGTGTTGTATCGTGTTGTTCCAGCATCTCAAAATTGCATGTCTCTTTGCAACATGCCTTATGCTATTATTTTTTTTTGCTTAAGCGTGATGCTTGGGGACCCCATCTAAGTGACTTTGCCCGGCATGTTTTACTACTAAGTAGCATGTTTATATATATATATATATATATATATATAGAGATAGGAAAATTTGATAAAGGGTTAATAATAGTAAAGTTTTTGGAGACACAATATATATTTTTTCAAAATATTCCTTCATTCTCATTGCAAAAGCCCTTGCTACCATAATGGTGCATCATACAAAAGTGTCTTTTTTTCAAAACGTGAAAATAAGACAGAAGGAGTTTTTTTTTGACAGAGAGAGAAATACAAAAGTACTAGGCATAAAGTTAACTTAGCAGTAGTAGAGCTTGAGCCACTTCCCATTGACGGGGTCTGTTAGCGTGCCTTCTTTGACAGAGACCAAGCGATAATAGCCGCTGCTGTGAACTTCTTTGACTGCAAACGGGCCTTCCCATTGTGGCGCAAACTTGGAAGGTCCCGACACTTGTCTTCTCACATGCTCCGCAACTTTTAGCACGAGGTCTCCTTGCTTGAAGGCGCGAGGCTTGACTGTCCTGTTATAGGCTTGAGCTACAGTTCTGTGGTACAACGCTGTCCTCTTTTCGGCTACCGCTCTTTTTTCATCCAAAGCTTCAAGGTCCAGCAGGCGCCATTTCGAGCATGACTTTGTATCCCATTCGAGGTCGTTAACAGCTGCTATTCTGGCAGTGGGGATGGTAATCTCTACTGGTGAAATGGCATCGGACCCGTACACAAGTGAATAGGGCGAGAAACCTGTGGCACTTCTTGAAGAGGTGCGGTAGGCCCATAAAGCATCCGGCAGGTGAACACTCCAACCTCCTTCATACTCATAAACCATTTTGCTTAGGATCCTTAATAAAGTTTTGTTCGTGGCTTCCGCTTGACCATTTCCTTGTGGGTAATAAGGCGTGGAGCGACGATGCTTGATACCATAACCACTAAGTGTCGAGCTTACTTGCTTATTGACAAACGGGGTGCCATTGTCGGTGACAATCTTGTATGGGATCCCAAATCTACATACAATATTTTCACGGATGAAATTGGCAACGGCAGCTCCCGTGGCCTTCCGCAAGGGAACCGCCTCAACCCACTTTGTGAAATATTCGGTGGCTGTGAGGATCCATATGTAGCTGTCGGATGGTGGATGGATAGTCCCGATCAAATCAAGCCCCCAAGTATGGAAGGGCCAAGGAGTGCGCATGTCTTGCAGCAGCGTGGGAGGCTTATGACTTAAGTTGGCATGAACTTGACATGTGTGGCACCTCTTCACAAAGTTGTATGCATCATTCTTCATTGTAGGCCAATAATACCCAACACTCAGCAGCTGCCGGTAAAGCCTCTTCATTCCTTGGTGCTCACCACATTCTCCAGCATGAATCTCTTGCATGACTTGCTGTGCCTCTGACTTTCCCAAGCATTTTAATGGCTCACCATTAAACCCCTTACGGTAAAGAGTTGACCCATCTATGAAGTATCTTTTCATTGTCCTTTTGAGCTTGCGTGCATGCTTGGGATTGGTTGGCAAGACTCCGTTGATGAAGGATGCCAAGTATGGAGCCCTCCAATCCTCCGCAAACGAGACGGTGAATGATTCCTCGGTGGAGGGTATCTTTGCACACTTGGGACAATTGGCTTGTATTTCAGCTGCTTGTTTCCTCATTTCTGGCCAGTAATAACCCTTGCGCTGCAGGCGCCGGTACAAGCTGATTATTGGCTCCAAATTGCAAGTGACCTCATGTACCTCTTGAAGCTTCTCCTGTGCTTCTGTTATCCCTATGCAGCGGGTCAAAATACCTCCCGGAAGGCGTCTGTACAGTTCCCCAAAGATGATCGCATAATCCTTCAATTCTTTGATGTCGCTTCCTTTGCCTATTTTTTCTTTCACAAGCTTCCTCCAGTCATCCTCTTCCAGCTGCTCCTCTTGAGCCATTGCTTCAACAACTGGCGTGTCCTTCTTGATTACTGCAATATTGGGCTGTTCTTCAATAAATGAGAGCCTCGACCCCAAAGTGGCCAACGCATCAGCATATCTATTAGTGACCCCCGGGATATGTTCCAACACAACCTGTTTGAAAGAACGAACAAGCCTTTCAGCAGCTGTACGATATGGTGCCAATGCTGGTTCCTTCACGGCGAAATTTCCTTGTAATTGACTCAGCACCAAGTTTGAATCCCCAATAATTTTAATTCTTTTGACACCCATTTCCCTTGCTGTAGACATCCCTGCAATAAAAGCTTCGTACTCTGCCGTATTATTTGTGCATGGGAAATTTAGCTTAAATGAGAGGGTCGTGGCTTGCCCCTCGGGATTGACAAGCACCACACCTGCCCCTCCACCCTTCGATGTAGAAGACCCATCGAAGTAGAGGGTCCATGGTTCTGCCTCTGTGACTACAGCAACCATTTCCGGCAGCTCCCCCAGAACTTCCTTAGAGATTGTTGATTCTTCAACTTCGGGAAATAGAGCCAACATGTCAATCACGGCCTGCCCTTTGATGGCTTTTGGAGTGGTGCAGGTGATATCAAACTCGGACAGTTGTAGCAGCCAACGTGCAAGGCGTCCGGATAACACCGGCCTTGTAAGCAAATATCTTACGGGATCAGACTTCACCATGAGATGTAGCTTGTGAGCAAGGAAGTAATGCCGCAAGCGCTGTGCAGCATAGACAAGAGCAAGGCACAAGAGTTCAGTCTTCGGATATCTTACTTCAGCTCCCCTTAGTTGCCTACTTACGTAATAAATGGACTTTCTTCCCCGTCATGATCATCTTGAGCAAGCAAAGCCCCCACCGCTGTGTTTGTTGCAGCCAAATAAAGCTTGAGAGGGAAGCCCCGGAATAGGTGCTTTCATAGTGGGCAGCTTGGTGATTATTTGTTGCACTTTCTTGTAAGCTTCTTGGCACTTCTCACTCCATTCATACGGCTTGCCTTTCTTGAGCAATGGAGTAAAAGCACTCATGGTGGCAGCAAGACCTGGGATAAAGCGTCGAATATACGATAATCTTCCCATAAAGCTTTTCAATTCTTTTGGGTTTTTAGGCGGTGCAAGAGAATTTATGGCTTTAGTCTTTTCAGGATCCACGTCTATGCCACGCTGGTGTACTTGAAACCCCAAGAATTTACCGGATGAAACCCCGAACGCACACTTCTTTGGATTCATCTTAAAACCGTACAGCCGACACCTTTCCAGCACTCTCCTCAAAACTTCTTGATGGCCTTCTCTGGTTTTGGACTTCACCACAAGGTCATCCACATAATCTTCGACTTCTTTTCCCATCATGTCGTGAAACACCGCTGTCATGGCTCTTTGGTAGGTGGCGCCAGCATTTTGAGGCCGAATGGCATGACCGTATAATAAAAATTCCCATACGGTGTTCGAAAGGCTGTCTTCTCAGCATCTTTGGGTGACATCTTGATCTGATTGTAACCACTAAACCCATCCATGAATGACAACAAGCCTTGACCCGAGGTCGAATCAATTAAGATATCCATGTTAGGCAGCGGGAACTCGTCCTTTGGGCAAGCTCGGTTGAGGTCTCGATAATCCGTGCATATTCTGATCACACCGGTTTTCTTTTTCACAGGGACAATATTTGCTAGCCACGTAGGATGCTTGATTGGCTTAATAAATCCGGCAGCTAACAACTTTTCAATTTCCACCTTGATTTGCTTCTCAACTTCAGGATGAAAATTCCTTCTTGGCTGCACGATAGGTTTTGTACCAAGCTCAATATTCAAAGTATGACTTACTAAGCTTGGGTTTAAGCCAGGCATTTCCTCATAGCTCCAAGCGAACACATCTCGGAATTCCTTTAGCAAAGATATCAAGGCCGCCCTCTCCTCACTTTGTTAAATGAACACTTATGGAAATGGGCCTCGGGGTAGAGGGATCTTCACTCAAATCAATTGTTTCCAGTTGCTCAGCTACTGCTGCCGATCCATCTTGCATGTGTCTGGGTGCTGCCATTGGTTCTTGGAAAGCACAAGGCATGGGTGCCTTGTTGTGGAACTCCCACAGCTATTTGTTTGCATTACTTTCCCTCCATACTCGGGGCTTTCCCGTAAGACACGGTCAAGCCCCCAACCCCGTCATAAGCGGTACACGATACGTCCATCGGGCAGCGTCACCTTTGAGCATTGGGGATGATCATAGGCATGGTTGTTGACTTCCGAGTGCCTCTTTCTCTCTCGATCAACAATGGTGATGAGCTCCTCATTGCTTAAATCACGAATTTCAGTCCACGAAGGAAGGTAGGTCCCGAAATCCTTGGATGGATTGCTTCCAGCACCTGTGCATTCAGTGTAGAATTCGCCTCGGAGTAGTGAGCTTCATCTTTGTTGAAACGGTGCTTGGTTTCCAGGTATGCGTAGCGGCCTCAGCCCAATCCTTCCTTTTACGCATTGATGATAGGTAGAGACCACAAGTTTATGCTTGTTGAGCCATGGCCTTCCAAGCAAAGCATGGTAAGCCACATCCACATCCACAACATAGAACTTAGTAAGTGACCGAATTGGCCCAACCTTCAAATTTACTTGTAGATGCCCGACTGTGACTCACTCTTATTCCCGAAACCCTGATGTTTGTTTGTGATTGGACAATTTTGGATAATGGGATACCAGCTGCCGTAAGCACAGACAGAGGTAATATGTTGACAGAGGAACCGTGTCTACCCAAAGCTCTCCTTATGAACACATCATTGATTTGTCCCTCCAAGTAAAGCGGCCTCCTATGGTCCGGGTATGGAACTTCCATGTTTTCGTCCGTGAAGACAATAGCATTGTCATTTCCCAAGAATGACCTTGTGGTTGAGCTGTAAAGCAGTGAGAGTTAGACTCTCAGAGATATTCATCAGAGCTACAGCAGCTGCTTCTCTTGCTTGAGGCCGAAGCCAAGTTGGTCAAAGAGTGATTTGAACTTCGGGATTTCTTTGAAGGACCTGTGAAGCTGTGGGCCCCTGTTTCATGCTTAAATAACGTTCCATCACGCTGTTTCAGCTTCCGTGATTTTTTTTTTTTTTTTTTTTTTTTTTTTTTTTTTTTTTTTTTTTTTTTTTTTTTTTTTTTTTTTTTTTTTTTTTTTTTTTTTTTTTTTTTTTTTTTTTTTTTTTTTTTTTTTTTTTTTTTTTTTTTTTTTTTTTTTTTTTTTTTTTTTTTTTTTTTTTTTTTTTTTTTTTTTTTTTTTTTTTTTTTTTTTTTTTTTTTTTTTTTTTTTTTTTTTTTTTTTTTTTTTTTTTTTTTTTTTTTTTTTTTTTTTTTTTTTTTTTTTTTTTTTTTTTTTTTTTTTTTTTTTTTTTTTTTTTTTTTTTTTTTTTTTTTTTTTTTTTTTTTTTTTTTTTTTTTTTTTTTTTTTTTTTTTTTTTTTTTTTTTTTTTTTTTTTTTTTTTTTTTTTTTTTTTTGATACTTTGAATTATATTTCCAATATAGGACTTTCGACTTCCTCTGGAGCAAAACATAATCAAATGGACGAATTTTGGAGTAATTCCAGTTGGAGGACGTTCGTGAGCCACTTAGCTTGATCGTATCAAAATATCAGACTTTTCCACCAAGCGATGATTTCCTGGTGAATAAATGAAGGAGCAGTGCACTGTGCTGGAATAGTGACGTTTTGGGCTTGTATTGCGTTTTTGGAGCCCAAGATGACCTCGGATGGGTTCATGGCCTTCTGGAGAAGTGTTCGGAATATTTTTATCTTTAAAACGAGCTATCTTGGGCCAGATTTGGAGGAGATTTGAGACCAAAACGTGGCTGACCAGATTATTGGCAGATTCTCCTAATCCAATTTGGACTTTATTTCCTAGTCTTATTTTATTTTAACTTAGTTTCCTTGTGGGGATTGGGCAGCTAGGTTTTAGGAGGTATTTAAGCTCCTTTTCACAGCAATTTAGAGGACTCCCTTTTTACTTCTTTTTGGTTTTTGGAGCAATTGCTAGGGTTTGGGATTTTCGCGACTTTCAGGTGTTTGCATTCTTATTCTTCTTAATGATATTTTCTTGGATTTCAATTGTGAACATGCGTAACTAACTCTCTTTTGCTAGGGTGAGGCCACGAGCCTTAGCAAGAATATGTAGTTTCTGTCCAATTTGCTTATGATTATATGCATGCAGGTTTTCGAATTATTCATCACTGGGTTAAACTATCTAAGTGTCTTGATGCTTGATCACCATTAGGATGTTTAGAAAAGTAATTTGATGCAGTTTTGGTCGGAGGTCGGTCCCTGAAATTGACGAAGGCTTCTTGTGATTAATATGTGCAAGTTCACTTAGGATGAATACCACGTCTTAAGGGTTGCATGGTTTTTCAAAAGGTTTCACAGAACTTAATGAGTCATGTATGTTTAGATTCGATCTGAATACCACAGACGGATTGCATGTATGATATACGCTCTATGTTGGGGGTCCAAGTAGGCATATATTAGGAATACCTAACCTTCGAAATATGCATGTATAGATTATAAGTAATTGGGGGAACTATATAGAATTGTTAAGGTGACGGCGGATCCCTAGTGCTTTCTTAATTTGATTTCTAAAAACACAACTGTTTCTCTTGCTCTTAGCTTTAATTTTGCATATTGCCTTATTTTTATTAGTTAAATTCCTTTTAATTTAAGGTCTTCAAATCAAACATCTCAACTTTCTCTTTTGCAATAATTAATTAGAATTTGGTTGCTACGAGTTATTTAATAATCCCTGCGGAGAACGACCTTGCGAGAATCATTTATACTACAATAACCTTGTCATTCTTGCAAGTTTTGTAGGAGTTTTAACCCTGTTTGCGCAGGTACTAAAAAGCCTATCAAGAAATTGGCGCCGTTGCCGGGGATTATTTAAAATAATTCGTTCTAATCAGATTCTGCATTAATTATTGCTGTACATACATACCAAAAAAAAAAAAAAAAAAAGAAAAGAAATAATTTTCGTTTTTATTTATTTTTGCAGATCACAGCAAGGCAGTGCAGATTACAATCTGTGCATGGTCAGCACACGTTCAGCAGTTCAGCAATTGTTTCCGTTTGATCCAGAACCTGAGCAATCTTTAAGGAGGAGACACAGGGAGCAAAATTTGCTGCGGGTTCCTTCACTGCAAGGGACTTTTCTGCAGTCTTTATATTCTGAGGACCTGCACAGTACAGAAACAATGGCTTTTGTTATTCCAGAGGCTGGTGATCCCTTTGGGTAATTCTTTAACAGCTCATGCCACTAACATACCAGGTTGCATTACATATCCAGCAGTGGAAGAAGGGTCTACATTCGAAATCAAGCATCACATGTTGAGTATTTTACCTACATTTCATGGGTTATCAACCGATGATCCTAACATGCACATTGCAGAATTTTTAATGGGATGCAAGAATATTTTGGTGAAAGGATTCTCAGCTGAATCTATTAAGCTTCGTCTATTTCCTTACACATTGAAAGATCAAGCAAGGAGATGGCTCCTCACACTTCCATCTGGAAGCATTAGCACTTGGAACCAACTCAGTGAAAAATTCTTAAACAAATATTATCCAGCTTCAAAGACTCTCGACATGAGAACTCAAATTTTATCTTTTGCCCAAAAACCAAATGAAGAGTTTCATGAGGCGTGGGAACGGTTTAAAGAGTTGAATAGAAAATGTCCACATTCTAGTATTAGCAGTACGGATCAAGTGCATATATTTTTCAGAGGGTTAAATATGACAACAAAAACTCTTGTCAACGCTTCATGCGGAGGATCATACAAGGATAAAAATGCACAAGAGGCTTGTTTATTATTTGAAAAAATGGCAGCAGATACACAGCAATGGGCAGTTGAGCAGCCACAATCAAGGTCTGTTTTTGAGATATCTAATGGTTCTCCATATATGTCGGCACAAATTGAAAAAATGGAGAAAAAGCTTGAAAGATTTGATGCAAAATTTGACATGTTATTACAAAGAATTCCAGGTTCACAGGTTGCTGTACAGCAACCTTTACCAGCTGCCTGTAGCATTTGCAATGTGACAACCCATGATTTTTTGAGCTGTCCGCATAAAGATGCTTATCCGGAATTTGCAGCGGAACAAGTTAATGCATTTAATAATTTTCAGCGTCCACGATATGACCCGTATTCAAATGTTTACAACCCGGGTTGGAGAGATCATCCTAATTTTAAGTGGGACAGAGATCAGCCTGCAAGGCCACAATTTCAACAACAGGTACAGCAAACTGCTGCGCCTAAGGCTGCTTGGGAGGTTGCAATTGAAAAATTAGCAAATGCCACCAGTCAAGAATTCCAAAATCTGCAGGCAACAGTGAAAAACATAGAAAAACAAATGGGGCAGATTGCATTCCAAGTTTCAGAAAGAGCACCAGGTACATTTCCTAGCCAAACGGAACATAATCCAAGGGGAGGCGCAGATTGTAAGGCAGTTCGAGTTCTACGTTCGGGTAAAAGTTATGACAATAGAGTTGGAAATTCGCAGGCAGCATCACAGCCACAAACAGATTCAGGAAATTTTGCAGAATCTGATATTGTTACAGATTCTACAGTCTATGGGCAGATCTGAAAACAGTGCAAAAATTGCTGCAGAAACTGCAGAACGTGTTTATGTGCCTCCAATGCCTTATCCCGAAAGGTTGAAGCCCAAAGTTAAAGATCAACAGTTGACAGATTTTATGAAGACCTTGGCCAAAGTTCAGATCAATCTCCCATTGATTGATGCAATTAAGAACATTCCATCTTATGCCAAGTTTTTAAAGGATGTTTGCACAAAGAAAAAGAAGCTCGTGGATTTTGAAAAAGTTATTCTTACAGAACAGTGCAGCGCAGTTTTATTACACAAACTGCCTCCAAAGAAACAAGACCCAGGGAGTTTTACAATTTCATGCACAATTGGAAATTCTAATTTTAAACGTGCTTTAATTGATTTGGGTGCCAGTATTAATTTAATGCCTTTTTCTGTTTTTCAGAGACTAGGACAAGGAGAAATCAAGCCTACATCAGTTATTCTACAACTGGCGGACCGTTCAGTTGCTTACCCTAGGGGAATTATTGAAGACCTCATTATTAAAGTGGATAATCTCTACCTTCCTGCAGATTTTGTGGTCTTGGATATGGATGAAGATATGCAAACACCGATTATTTTGGGGCGTCCATTCATGGCTACTGCTCGAACCTTAATTGATGTTGAGGCTGGAACACTTACACTTAGAGTGCAAGATCAGTCCGTTGTTTTCAGTTTATTCGAAATAACCAAAAGGCCAACTGATGTGCAAGATTGTATGCGTGTTGACATGTTAGACAGCTTAATGCATGCTGAAATTATGCCCCGTTTGACATCAGATCCATTGTTAAAGGTGTTGCATGGGTTGGAGAATAGAAACACTGAAGATGAAGAGGTTTTTGAGTATGTTTCAGCTTTGGAAAGTGTTCCTTTTCTACACCCCCGTTGGAGGCACGTTTTTGAGAGTTTAGGGGAACCGAAAAAACCATTGCAGCCCTCTAAAGTACAGCCACCTAAACTGGACTTAAAAGTACTGCCAGGACACTTGAAATACGCTTATCTGGGTGCAAATTCTTCGCTGCCAGTTATTATAGCTGCTGACTTATCATCAACAGAAGAAGAAAAATTGCTGCGTATTTTAAGAAATTATCAAGATGCAATCGGTTGGACTATAGCAGACATTAAAGGGATCAGCCCTACAATTTGCATGCACCGAATTCTGATGGAAGATGGAGTAAAGCCCACCATTGATGCTCAACGTCGTTTGAATCCAATTATGAAAGAAGTTGTTCGTACTGAGGTTATGAAGCTTCTAGATGCTGGGATGATCTATCCCATTTCAGATAGTAAGTGGGTTAGTGCAACTCAAGTGGTGCCCAAGCGTTCTGGAATTACAGTTGTGAAGAATGACAATAATGAACTTGTGCCTACACGTTTGACTACTGGGTGGCGTATGTGTGTTGATTACAGAAAGATCAATACGGGCACTAGAAAGGATCATTTTCCATTGCCTTTCACTGATCAAATGTTGGAAAGGTTGGCTGGTCGTGCGTTCTATTGTTTCTTGGATGGATATTCAGGGTACAACCAGATTCCAGTTGCACCTGAAGATCAAGAGAAGACAACCTTTACATGTCCTTTTGGGACTTTTGCATATCGAAGAATGCCCTTTGGTTTGTGCAATGCTCCTGCAACGTTTCAACGATGCATGATGAGCATATTTTCCGGATTGGTTGAACAGGTAGTTGAAGTGTTTATGGATGACTTTTCTGTTTTTGGGGATTCTTTTGATGAATGTTTGAACAATTTATCCTTAGTTCTTGACAGATGCATTAAGACAAACCTTGTTTTAAATTGGGAAAAGTGTCATTTCATGGTTAAGCAGGGGATTGTCCTAGGCCACTTGATTTCTAACAGGGGTATTGAGGTTGATAAGGCCAAAATTGATGTAATTGCAAAGCTGCCACCACCGACAGCTGTTAAAAGTGTTCGATCTTTTCTTGGTCATGCTGGGTTTTACAGACGGTTTATCAAGGATTTCTCCAAGATTAGCCGACCATTGTGTAATTTGTTGGCTAAGGATGCTCCTTTTGTCTTTGATGATGCTTGTTTGGAGGCTTTCAACAAGTTAAAGACACTCCTCACTACAGCACCCATTATTGCAGCACCTAATTGGAGTTTACCTTTCGAATTGATGTGTGATGCTTCAGATTACGCAGTAGGAGCGGTTCTTGGACAGCGGAAAGATAAGCTTCCCCAAGTCATTCATTATGCTAGTCGAACTCTCAATGACGCACAGCTAAACTATGCGACCACAGAGAAGGAATTGTTGGCAGTTGTTTTTGCATTAGAAAAATTTCGGTCTTACTTAGTTGGGGCTAAGGTGATTGTTTACACAGATCATGCAGCTTTGAAGTATTTGTTGTCGAAGAAAGACGCTAAGCCTCGATTAATTCGTTGGATTCTTTTACTGCAAGAGTTTGACTTAGAAATCAGGGATAAGAAGGGTAGTGAAAATGTTGTGGCTGATCATTTGTCCAGGTTGATTGTGCCAATTTCTGCTGAAGATGACTTGCTGCCTTTAAATGAAAGTTTTCCGGATGAACAGCTGTTTGCTGCCCATATCATTTCACCATGGTTTGCTGATTTAGTTAATTATTTGGCTAGAGGGGTACTTCATCCAGATTTTACTTTCCAGCAGAAAAAGAAATTTTTGGCAGAAGCAAAGTATTATTTTTGGGATGAACCATATTTATACAAATATTGTTCCGACCAAGTTATTCGCAGGTGTATTCCAGAAGAAGAGCATGAAAGTGTTTTAAAGTTTGCACATCAGTATGCTTGTGGGGGACATTTTGGCCCTAAACGGACAGCAGCTAAAATCTTGCAGAGTGGATTGTTTTGGCCTACTCTCTTCAGGGATGCTAATAGTTGGTGTAGATCTTGTGATCGTTGTCAAAGGGTGGGTAATCAGTCCAAAAGAAACGAAATGCCACAACAAAGTATATTAGTGTTGAATTGTTTGATGTTTGGGGTATTGATTTCATGGGACCATTCCCAATGTCCCATGGCAATCAGTATATTTTGGTGGCTGTTGAATATGTCTCTAAATGGGTCGAGGCAATTGCAGCACCAACCAATCAAGGATCAGTTGTTCTGAAATTCCTCCAGGGGGTAATTTTTCCACGATTTGGAACACCGCGTGTCATTCTAAGTGATGGGGGTAAGCACTTTGTCAATAGATCGTTTGCTACGTTGCTAGCTAAGTATGGGATCACCCATCGTGTTGCTACTCCTTATCATCCACAAACATCAGGACAGGTTGAAGTTTCAAATAGAGAAATCAAGCGAATTCTTGAAAAAACAGTTAGCTCGACTCGAAAAGACTGGGGTTTGAAATTGAGTGATGCTCTCTGGGCGTACAGAACAGCATTTAAAGGCCCAATTGGGATGTCCCCATTTCGGCTGGTTTATGGTAAGGCTTGTCATTTACCTATGGAGCTAGAGCATAAGGCATTTTGGGCTATTAAAGAGTTGAATTTTTCTTATGATTCTGCTGGAGAAAAACGTAAATTGCAGATTAATGAGCTTGAGGAAATTCGTAATGATGCTTATGAGAGCTCGCGCATTTACAAAGAAAAAACCAAGGCATTTCATGACAATCAGATTCTCAGAAAGAATTTTCATCCAGGGCAAAAAGTTTTGTTATTCAGTTCAAGGTTGAAGTTGTTTCCAGGGAAGTTAAAGTCTCGTTGGAATGGCCCCTATTTGGTTACTAAGGTTTATCCTCATGGGGCGGTTGATATTACAAGTGAAATTAATGGCAACACATTCAAAGTGAACGGTCACAGGCTGAAACCATATTTGGAGTCACCCTTCGATATTGCACGCGAGTCACTGACTCTGAAGGAACCAGTGATTGACCACCAGGCTTCTGCAACGTCTAGCTACAGACTTAAAATAAAGCGCTTATTGGGAGGCAACCCAATTTTTCTAAACTCTTTACTTCTTTTATTTTTAAAACTAAACAAAAACAAAAAAAAATACAAAAATATTTGTTTCTGTTTTTCCTTTTCTAGTTATTTTCTTTCTACTCCTAACACATATTTGAATCAATGCAGGACAACCAACAATCAGCAGCAAACATCAAAAGCAAAAAATCCTAGGCTGGAATCCTGCACCCAGCAGCAAGTCTACACTGGGAAAGACACAACAATCAGCAGCAAGTATCAAAAGAAAAAACCTAGGCTGGAATCCTGCACCCAGCAGCAAGTCTACACTGGAATCATGCACCCAGCAGCAAGTCTACCAAATTTCCAACAACAACATTTGCAGGGATTCGAAATTATACCTGAGGTGCACGGATTGGGGGTCCTCAGGCTTTTTGCTGTTTTGTCCTTTGCGCTTGTGTGTTTATTGCCCTTTCCCTTGAATCTCTCTTGGATTCGCAGACCTTACACAGCGAGCACCACTATGAGTACCTGCAGGGACAAAGAACACACATCTCTACATATCACACATCTTTACAGATAAGGACCCAAGACAAATTCTGGAATTACTCTTACCTTCGGATGGATATCGGAAGGCATGGGTGCTATGAGATCGAGGACCAATGGATGCAGGTGGACGTTAGTGACGGTGCTGGCAGAGGTTTGAGACAGAGGAATGTACCCAGAGGCATCCAACACCTTCAGCTCAGGCTCCTTCAGCTACTGAACGTGCCAAGAATTGAATTCTCCGCCACTAGCTCGTATAATGTCGATTTCACTGCGAAAATTGGGGGTAAGGCATCTGGGCAGATTTGGGGTCCTTTGACCCAACTCAAATACGCCAACCCAAATCCCCATTTTCCGAGCATCCGGCCTAGCACCCACTCATGCCCAGCAACTGACAAGCTTCGCTCCTTCTTTGGCTTTTAACTCTGACCCATTGTTTGAAGAACAAATCAATTGCAACCTTCTGATGAAATAAGGTTTCTGGGTCTCACCAAGGAGACCCCTGTGGCTCTGAGCTCGGGCTGGTAGAAGGGGATCTCATATCTTTCAAATGACAGCTGCGGCAGGTAGACCCAGGTTATATTGTATCTGTCGCTCGTCTTTGACGCAAGCGGAAACTTGGTTGGGTTGGTCAGCGCCTTTACGCCACACGCAGCCACTGGTCCAGCGTTCGACTCACCAAAGCGTCCCTGCCGTCCTGGTGTGTTAGTTTTCTTTTATTCCTTTTCCTTTTCTTTTTCTTTTAATTTCTGTTTTCTGTTTTATGTTCTTTTCTGTTATTTTTATTTTATTTTTTCTCTCCTACTTTACCTCTTTGGCTGCTCCTTTATCTTTTTATGTTTCGCCTCTATTTTCTAGGAGTTAGTCATTTGGTTTCTGTCTTGTTTCGTCTATTTATTTTCCACACCTTGAGGACAATGTGTGATTTAAGTTTGGGGGTGGGAAAGTAAATTTTAGATTTTTAGTCTCGTCTAAAATTTTCATTTTTAAGTTAATATCCATAGATTATTTTAAACTTTAGAACAAATAGACATGGTGAAGATTAGTCCCACAATAGAGTCTTTTCTGTTTATTATTGTTTAGACACTAATTCTTGAATTGTACTTTGAAATTTGCACATCACACCAACATGGTTTGTGGGGAGTGAGATTGAAATACTTATTGTTTGTCCCAGTGTGTTTTAATTTTTGTTCTATATAAATAAAGTTAGTATGTATTATCAAGTAATAATTGCCTCACCCAAAGCTTTGTTAGTAACCGGGCCAGTCCTGCCTAATCAGCAGTGATTCTCGAGACAAACGGTAGAGTTTTGGCATGAGGCAGGGTGGTTAGTTGGTTTCGTAGCCTTTCCAGCTTGAGTTAATAAGTCCTTAGGGGTGTTCTACACCTAGTGCCCTAAAGCCTTAGTGGTTTGGGAGTCATTGACTTAAAGCTCGCTACATGGGGTGGATCGAAAGCTTAAGGGAACCGACATTGCACAACCGCTACTGTTACTGAAAAAAAAAAAAAAAAAAAAAAAGAGTCGAAAAAGAAAAAGAAAAAAATGTGTGAAGTGTGTGAAGTTTGAATAAAAAGGATGAGAGATAAAGGTTTTAGTCGAGTTTCCTTAACTATGATGGTTCACTTTACACCGAAGGAAGTTTGTGAATTCTTTTCTAATTGATTCTAAATAGCTTAGACTCTGTGGTGGGATTAGTTGAATCTATTGAACAGATGTTCTAGTTTTTAAAATTTGCTATGGATTGCAACTTGAAGGTGGAAATTTTGTTCTGGTTAAAGTGATAGCCAAATGTTTAGTTTGTTAAGCTTTTATTTTTGTTTGAGTCTTGTTTTGCTTGAGGACAAGCAAAAAGCTAAGTTTGGGGGTATTTTGATGAGTCGATTTTATATTATATATTTAGCCTCATTCTTAGTATATTTTGGTTAATATTTTGGAAGAATTTTGATACTTTGAATTATATTTCCAATATAGGACTTTCGACTTCCTCTGGAGCAAAACATAATCAAATGGACGAATTTTGGAGTAATTCCAGTTGGAGGACGTTCGTGAGCCACTTAGCTTGATCGTATCAAAATATCAGACTTTTCCACCAAGCGATGATTTCCTGGTGAATAAATGAAGGAGCAGTGCACTGTGCTGGAATAGTGACGTTTTGGGCTTGTATTGCGTTTTTGGAGCCCAAGATGACCTCGGATGGGTTCATGGCCTTCTGGAGAAGTGTTCGGAATATTTTTATCTTTAAAACGAGCTATCTTGGGCCAGATTTGGAGGAGATTTGAGACCAAAACGTGGCTGACCAGATTATTGGCAGATTCTCCTAATCCAATTTGGACTTTATTTCCTAGTCTTATTTTATTTTAACTTAGTTTCCTTGTGGGGATTGGGCAGCTAGGTTTTAGGAGGTATTTAAGCTCCTTTTCACAGCAATTTAGAGAACTCCCTTTTTACTTCTTTTTGGTTTTTGGAGCAATTGCTAGGGTTTTGGATTTTCGCGACTTTCAGGTGTTTGCATTCTTATTCTTCTTAATGATATTTTCTTGGATTTCAATTGTGAACATGCGTAACTAACTCTCTTTTGCTAGGGTGAGGCCACGAGCCTTAGCAAGAATATGTAGTTTCTGTCCAATTTGCTTATGATTATATGCATGCAGGTTTTCGAATTATTCATCACTGGGTTAAACTATCTAAGTGTCTTGATGCTTGATCACCATTAGGATGTTTAGAAAAGTAATTTGATGCAGTTTTGGTCGGAGGTCGGTCCCTGAAATTGACGAAGGCTTCTTGTGATTAATATGTGCAAGTTCACTTAGGATGAATACCACGTCTTAAGGGTTGCATGGTTTTTCAAAAGGTTTCACAGAACTTAATGAGTCATGTATGTTTAGATTCGATCTGAATACCACAGACGGATTGCATGTATGATATACGCTCTATGTTGGGGGTCCAAGTAGGCATATATTAGGAATACCTAACCTTCGAAATATGCATGTATAGATTATAAGTAATTGGGGGAACTATATAGAATTGTTAAGGTGACGGCGGATCCCTAGTGCTTTCTTAATTGATTTCTAAAAACACAACTTTTCTCTTGCTCTTAGCTTTAATTTTGCATATTGCCTTATTTTTATTAGTTAAATTCTTTTAATTTAAGGTCTTCAAATCAAACATCTCAACTTTCTCTTTTGCAATAATTAATTAGAATTTGGTTGCTACGAGTTATTTAATAATCCCTGCGGAGAACGACCTTGCGAGAATCATTTATACTACAATAACCTTGTCATTCTTGCAAGTTTTGTAGGAGTTTTAACCCTGTTTGCGCAGGTACTAAAAAGCCTATCAATTGCCTCTCCCCAAAGATGCTTAGGCAAATCAGTTTTGGAAATCATGTTACGAACCATGTCCTTTAAGGTTCAATTTCTTCTCTTAGCCACACCATTATGTTGCAGAGTTCTTGGTGTTGTGTACTAAGCAACTATGCCATAATCTTGTAGATACCTTGCAAAATGGTCCAACACGTCTTCCTCCTTCATCAAAACGTCTATAATATTCACCCCCTTTGTCTGACCTATAATTTTGATTTTTTCTCAAGCTGCCTTTCAACTTCAATTTGATAAATTTTGAACATCTCAAAGGCTTGAGACTCTTCTACGATGAGGTATAGATAATCAAAATGAGAATGGTCATCTATTAAAGTGATGAAATATCAATTTCCATCAATTGTTTGATGAAGGAATGGTACATAAATGTATATGTGGATGATCTTTAAAACATCACTATTGAGGGTTGCACCTTTCTGTTTAGTCTTAGTGAGTTTTCCTTTACACATTCAATACAAATCTCATCAATACTGAAGGTCAATGGCGGCAAGACTTGTTCTTTAACAAGAATTTTCATTCTTTCTTTTGAAATGTGCCTTAAACATCTACCATAATCTAGTGGATGCTCTCTCACTTCTAATCCTTTTCTCGTTAGATTCAGCCATTAAAACTTCACTATCTTTATTGTAGTTGAGACAATATAATCCATTTGAGAGAAAACCAATAGCAAGAAAATTGGAATTTTGAGATAATGTGAAGCCATCTTTATTGAATTCAAAAACAAAACCAAGTCTTGATAATCTTGAAATAGAAATTAAATTCCTCTTCAGTGAGGGTACTAAAACTACATCATCCAACTCTAAAATAAATCCTAAATCCAACTTTAGGTTAACTACTCCAATGACTTCCACATCTACTTGCTCTCCATTTCCCACAAACACTTTAAACTTCATGCTTTCTTGGCTCCTTATATTCTTTACTAGAATCCCATTCGTGATAACTTGACACAAGTGGCACCTATTACACACCAGATGCTTCTCCTTCTTCCTAAGCTTTTGGAGCCCTTCTACAAAATACATAAACGAAATGGCTAGCTTGAATTAAATACAATCATGAGTGAGATCATAATTAATGTCATTCATTCTGAGAATAACTTCAAAAGATCAAACTTCCATCTTTTGAAGTTTGATCCAATGAGTGTTTCAATTTGTGAGAAATTGATTGAGAGAGTGTTCAATGTTGTAAGAATTTGCAAAAGAAAGTACAAGTACTTCCAAGAAACATATTCTTAATTTGTTTAAGAGAAAACAGTTTTTCAGTTTAACTTTAATCCACAAAACTAACAAGTAATAGATGCAAGTTTCCTTAATTAAGTATCACACCTTTGTGCAAGAGATTACTTATAACTTACAAACAGATTACGTGTTATTTTGTGCAATCATAAATAGATTACATGACAGATTCTATTTGATGAAGAAACTTATCAAGTAATTTAGGTATGATGCAATTTTGGTTATTTCTTTAGGGTTTGAGTATTTAGGTTTGGTTTTGTTATGAAAAATTTGTTGATTCTCATAACAAAAGTCAGTTCCTATCTAGCACAGAAAATTACCAAACAAAGCACAATCTAAGAGAAAACCCTAATATTGCCATGAATAGTATTTTAGGGGTTTTTGGTGTCCATTTTTGACCTATTATATCTTTCCGAATAGGGAATGGTGTGACTAACAGAACTCATTGCTTTGCTATGCTATAAGGCCATGTTTAGGGTTTTAAGGTCATCCAGTAGGTCAAAAACGGGTTTAAAGTTTTGAAGATATGAAAATCAATTGAAACATGCTTTTCTAGATTTTTTTAATATTCATAGTATTTAGAAAACATGTTTAATCTGTCATCAAAAACTTTAAACATAACCAAAACAATCATGGCATCAACGAAAGAAAACGCAATAGGCATGTTTTAAAAACGATTTCAATGTGTGTAGTAACCTGACTCTAATACCAATTGTTAGATTTCTATATAGTGTCATGATCTTTCACACAACTTGAAATACATAGAAGAAATACCTGGCACCATCTTCCTTGAGTACACGATCTCTGAACTCA